AAAGAGGAAGTTCGGCGTTGCCGTCGTACACTCACGCCAGAGATAAAAATCCGCAACAACAAAGACGCATTCGCCGTTAATTCCAATCATCCACTCAACTCCAATCATCGATCCTCATACCCCCACCGACGATCCCGGCCGTCGCGTGCTCACTCCCACCACTGCGATCGTCACCCCACCGACGTGAACTCGACACGGTTCGCCCAGATCCCACAGTTCGTCGTGGCGATCAAGCGCGCAACCGGCCAGCCTATTGTCAGCCCGACAGGACTTTCCGACTCGCACCAAACACTCTGCCTAGCCACTGCTTCCTGGAAGCTCGCTTGGGAGTCGAGAACGTAAGAGAGATTTGCGGGCGCGTTTGCCGAGTTTATAGTGGCGAGGAAGGAGACAAGGGAGAGAGAATGCAGGGGGAAAGTCGAAGTGTAAGAAGAGAAGCAGGAGGAGAAGACTTGGCGAGAAGCGCGCTACAAAAGCCATGATGATCCTTCGGGACTCAGCAATTGACCAATCAGACTCGTCGCGCAATAGGCAGATCCTACCGTACCACGTGTCTGATTGGTGGGCGAAAGTAATCGAAGGATCGACCGGACGCCGCAAGCTTTGCTCGAAGGGCAAGAAGAGAAAAGGCGCGAGAGGTAGGGCAAGACGGGTCCAAGATTCAGATGATCAAGAAAGGGAAATGGGCGCGCAAAGAGCAGAGCGGGAGAGAGAGAGAGAGGGAGAAAAACAATTACGAGGAGAGAGGAAGAGGAGGAGGAAGGAAAAAGGAGCGCGGGAGAGAGCGATGTGGGGGACAGGGAGGAGAAAGCTTTGCATGCGCGGCGCCGTCAACAACAAAAAGGAGAAAAAGGCACCAAAACAGTTACAACTTGCCTACATCCTAAACCAATTCAAAATTGAAATCATCGTATCCGCGCGCCAAAGAACAACGCGTGAAAAGAAAGTCCTACGCCTATTCGTATCCCCACAAAATTCCGAGAGTTTTCCCCAATGCGACCGAGAACATTTACACACAAAAAGGACACGTCGAAGTTCCGCTTATCCCGGAATTCCCAACTGCTAGACCCAATTCCCTGTGCGCTCGCTAAGGCGCGTGTAAATTCCCGTGTATTTCCTGAATTGCAAAAAGTAGAATTCCAAGAATCAACCAAGCTTTTGACAAAACGGGGGCCAAAAACACGGCACCCAAAATCAAGAAAACAAACGGGGTATTTGTAGGGTTGGTACGGTACAAGAAAAATTCGAGCCAAAGGGGTATGAAACATAGCACAGGTTCGGGAAGTAGTTCGTCACATATGTGACGCGCAGGGGGTTCCAAAATTATGCGATCTCCTGATTGCATGTTATGGCGGAGAAGGAGAGAGAAAGAGAGAGAACAGAGTGATGAATGAGGAACCAAGCGTATCAACAAACGATCCAGCCAGAGTCCATGTTCACGCCATCTTCAATTGCAATCTTTTCGTGGATCTGTTGGCTCGTGCCGCTGGAACCATCGATGATCGTCCAGGTGACGCCATCATCGCCCGCCGGTTCTCCGTGTGCTCTGCACACCAGTTTGTCGCTGCCCGTCGAATCTGAGCGTAGGTTGATGTCATCGTCGATGGCGTGATCTTCACGAAGCTTACTGATTCGTGCCGTTTTCCCCTACCGATTGGATGAAAAGAGGGAGGGGGGGGGATAGTCACGTGACCGGGATCTACCGCCTAGTTGGAATGGGCCAGTAGAGGAGGTACATGGAGGGGAGCTCACAGGGACGACGGGGAGGAAGTGGGGGTAGGTAGCGATTCATCCCTTCTACCGTCTCCGGAAGCTCCTCATATCGGATGATCCGGTGGAAGCGAGGAAAGTGATCGCCGCTATGAGGGAGAGAAGTGAGGTAGTCGCGATAGAAGGAGGAGAGAGTGCGGAGGAGCGCCGCTCGAAAGAAATCGTGGTGGCGACAGGCGGGGATTGTCCCTGTGGCTACGCAGTAGACTTCTACCACGTTGCATCGCTCCCATGCAACGCTTAACAACAGGATATGCCAGCAGAACGTGGGGGCAGCGGGCTGAAGGGATGGGTGGGGGTAGACGGTAGCGAGTAGGCGGGTAGAGTAGCAATCGTGGAAGAGATGGGGAAGGAAGGGATGGAGGGGGAAGGTGACGGGGGTGCGGATTTGTTCGACGGTGAGACAATCAAGGGGACGGCGGGATAACGTCCGAGGACGAAGGCCTATCGCCCGCATCGGTACGCGGGCGAACTGGGGGACGGGTGGGGCTGGAGGAGGAGGGGGATCGGCTCCGTCTCCGTCGCGCGGCGCTTGGGGTGGCGTCTGCTGAGTCGCCATCTTCGGGCTTCGGCGGCTCCGGATCCCTGGTCGGATCGTCACCGATGCGCAGGCTTGCTTTGCTGGCTAACTCCAGTTGGCGCTTCCCGGTGGCAATTTCTTCCCGCTTGCGTGCGGTCTAGGATCTTCTGCCTCCGTGCCAGTACGCGCCGCTTCCTCCGGCAAGGCTTCCCACTCAGATTCGGTTTCTTCTTCCTCCTCTTCTTCACTCAACTCGCCCTCGCTATACTCGCTATAGCTTCCTTCCTCCGACGTTTCATCGTCGTCGTCTTCTTCGTCGTCGTCGACCACTACTTCCTCCGCCTTCGGATAGAAGGCATGAGGGATGATGTCGTAAGGCTTCAGATACTCCTGCCGTGATGGTAGCGTATCTTTGTCCCTGGACTCCTCCAAGCACGCAGTCCACTGTAGGTACGGATCCAATGACCGCTCGATAACGTACGGAGCGGGGTTGTCGTCACTTTGCGAAAAGATATCGGGCGAGAGATCGTCCACCAATTGCACGATCGGCGCGATGAGCTCTTGCGCAATCAACTGGCGGCGGCCTGGCCGTACCGATCCAAAGAGAAAGCCGAGAAGATCGCCCTCGACATTAGTCCTCCAAGCTTGTATGATCAGCAACTCCAAATTTTCGATCCACGCAGGATGCTCGCTGGTCTGCGTCCACGTCACCTGTACTCGGGCCAAGTAGAAGGACAACTCGTCAAAAGTTTCGCGCCACAGTCGCCAATGCCCGGGATTAATAAGCGGGATATAAAGAGGCTCGAACGAGAAGGAAAAAGAAGGATGAAGATCGAACTGCCAGAAGGTGGGGAAAAGAGAGGGGAGACCGAAGATGGAGAGAGGAGCGAGGGGATCGGCGTGGTTCATTGGGGACGTGGGAAAGGGACGAGGGTGTGGATCGCAACTGGCGGCTCGCGCGGAGAACGACGGATCTCGCCAAGATCCGGTGCAAAGGTCGGGATGAGGTTGTGCCCTGGCCGGGCAAGACCGTGCTGCCACACATTGGACACCTGCTCCGTCCACTCTCGCAGCGAGGTCAAGATCGCGGTATGCCACCGTGGATTGAGCGAACTGATATCGCCGCTGAAAGCCGCAACCGTGGTGACGTGGCTCGTTCCGGGAGCCGCTCGCCGATGAACTGCTATTACCTCCGCCAGTACCACTGCCTGTGAGCTCCCTTCGAATCGAAACGCGGCGGCGGCACACACACCCACGTCGAAGAAGAACTGCGCTAAACGCCGAAGGTCCGTATTAAGCTGTGGATGACGAACTTGCCGAATTTTCGAGATGTGGCCACGGGGCTGCAACAACTGTTCGTCAAGAGCCCGCTCTGTGATAAAACTCATGGCGAGGTCGGAGAGGAAGACGAAGGGCAGGAGGGAGAGAATGGAGAGAGAGTTAGATCGTCGTCGTTCTCCTCATTTTCGGAGGAGGGAGAGGGAGGAAGATGAGAGGGAGGAAGAGGACGAAGGTAGGAGGTATGCCGGATGATGGGGACAGAGCTATGGTTGGCACTAGCTTCAGGCGTGACACGCACCGTGTTGGCGCCGTTAGGACCGAGCTCGACAACTAGAAAGCAGCCAGAGAACTTGGGAGCGAGTTTCCGGTTGCGTGCACATTTACGTACCTGCACTAGGTCCCCTAATTTATATTGATGTTGGGGCCCAGCATTTCCATTCCGAGCCTCGTAGCTACGAACCTGCCTCCCGTGGGCCAGATCGGTCATCCTTTGCCTTTTTCGGGCTAGCTTCGGGACGGCCCACTCCATTAATTCGGTGTACCTTTTGGCCTTGGCCTTGAGGGCTGCACGCGTGTCTCTACCCCCTGCTTCGGCAATTTCTGAGTTACCCTGGTAGTCGATACATGGGAGGCTATTAGTACGAAGCTGAAAGGGGTAAACCCCGTGGATTCGTGAGGGGTGGCCCGGTGGATCCCGACGATCTGATATACGATCTCGGGCCACGGATGCGTGTCGTGTGCCGCTAAATTCCTGCGAAGGGCGGTTTTAATCATACGGTTGGCATTCTCAGCCAACCCGTTCAACTAGGACACGTGGGGTGCCGTATGTCGGAGCGTGACAACCCTTCGTGCGAGCAGTTCCTCTACTTCTCCCTTGAATTCGGACCCATTGTCGGTTAGAATTTCTTCCGTATCTAGATGGGTATAGAAGAACCGTTCGATGTACGTGGCTATTTCTGCGGCTTTTCGGGTCTTACAGGGATAGACCTCGATGTACTTGGAAAAATGGTCTATTAATACTAACAGGATAGAATATTCGCAGCGGTTTGGGCCAGGTGGCACGTCGATATCTGTTGTGTCCATACCGACTCGCTGGAAGGGGCGCTCTACTTCCGTTGTTACTATCGTGTTTGGTCCCCGTATTGGGGTGCGATCAGCGCCACAGACCAGACAGTTGGCGACAATGTGTCTGACATCATCTCGTATGTTGGACCAGAACCATCGGTTCTGGTCCATAGTTGCCTCCGTGACATGTATCGCGAAATGACGGTCGATTTTCGAATCGCAGGCAGGCAGCTTTTTGGTCTTCTGTGCTGGTTTTCGGCATATGAAGGCTGACCGGCCCTGTCCCCCGGCATGTTGGAACACTCTTCTGCAGTAGTCGCGTGCGAGGGTCGCTCTCGAGGTGAATTTCATGGTTGACGTGCAGAGGAGATTGCCTCTGCTCGTACTTGCTGTCGTCGTGTTTCTCATCGTCGTCTTCCTCCACGTGTGTTTGTCGTGGCGGTTGTGGAAACAACATCGCAAGAGGAGGGTTTCAACGAAACGGGCGGCAGGGGAACGTCCGATGGTGGGCATGCAGGCACGCGCAGGTGTTGGTGCAGGTCTGGGTGGAAGACGACCTCTGACTGCGGAGCCTCCACGGCGGTACGACCCATCTGCGTACAGCCATCTAGAGTCGTGGGATACACCACTGCCCCCGTCGGATGAGGACCCGGAGACGGAAGAACTTCCAACGTTGCCTCTTGCCAGCGGGTCGACGCAGCCTTTGTCGCAGACGGTGCGAGCATGCGGTTCGGCTAGCAACGAAGGAGGCGAGTTCACCTCACTGCTGCACCAAGGCTTGGAAGATGACGACGACGGGGGACTTGATCTCAGGTTCGGGTTGTGTTTTGGCGGCGCTAGGGAGGCGAGCCGCACGTTTATCATCGACGCCGATCCTTCGCCACGTGGCATTCAACAATCTGGAAGTCTGCATACGGAGCACTCCAAACTTCGTGGCGGTGCGTCCATTACTGGCGGTGTCGGGCCATCCGCAGTAGGCCGACAGCATGGATCGAGTGCACCGTCGGCCGATCGATTGACAAGTACGTGCCCCGCACGCAATGGAGTCGCAGACGGGTCCCTGCGCATCGGCGGTGCACGTCCTTCAATGCCCAAACGCACAACGACGAACCAACCCGACCTCAGGGACGACGGCGCGTGCAGACCAGCGGTGCGTCCAGCACCCACTATGGAGAACATCACACGAGGTGTGTCAAACATGCGGGCACATAGCGATGGCGGCGACGACGACGGTGGTGGCGGTGATGATGCTGACGAACGATTCAGGGAGGACGTGGATGCAGGGGACGACGACGATGACATTCCTATTCGGCCTTTGGGGAAGACGGGTGGGAGGGGGAGAGGACGCAGCAGAGCAAAACGCGGGGAGGCCTAAAGACGCGGACGACTGCATGAAGAAGTGGGACAATCTCTTCCAAAACTACAAGAAGATACAGAGGTTTCAGAATGAGAGTGGCTGGCCAGATTTCTTCGGGCTATCGAATGAAGAAAGGAAGGAGCACAACTTTAAGTTCCGGATGGAGAGGGTGCTGCACAATGAGATCCACGCAGGCATGCTGGGCAACCACACAATTTTCCCTCCCAACGTCACCGACACCGGAAGTCCGGATGTGATGCAGCTGCCCAGGCGAGGAGCGGGTGCTGGGGAGTCTGTTGGTAGTGAGGCCATTGGTGAAGGCTTCCTTGAAGAACGTTCTTCTAGGAGGGACTCCGACAACAACGCAGCCAGCGGGGCTGGAGGCGGGAAGCGGAAGAATGCGCGTCAACAGGCATTGGAGTCGATTGCTGATGTCATGGACCGCCATGGCGAACTGATGTCGTCGACGATCGAATCGTCTAGCAAGCGACAATGCAGCATATTCACGATGCAATGCGACATACTCGAGCAGGAAGTTGCAGTCCAGAAAGCGCACTACGCGGCGTCCAATGAGACGCAGAGGATGATGTGCCACGCGCTTATGGAGATCGCTGCCGCCATCCGCGGTTGGTTGGCGATGTAGGCCGCACTGTGTGTGTGTGTGTGTGTGTGTGTGTGTGTGTGTGTGTGTGTGTGTGTGTGTGTTTGTGTGTGTGTGTGTGTGTGATAGTGAGTGTGTGCGGGTGTCGTCCACACC